TTTTCCTCTCAGCGGCCTAGACAAACCCAACAACACCAAAAAACCATCTTAACTATTTTACAAGGGCAAATAAATTTACTGAACCAATTCTTTGTCTTCAGTACCAATTGCTACGGACTTAATTGTTTCAAGTTTAAGATCAGGACTAGTTTTAAGACAAAGAAAGTGTTTTACCTCCTAGGACTGCGGCTCCTTGAAATCTTCCTAGGAACCTGCAAGTTTTAATAATGCACATATGATAGAAAAAACGTCAAAACACAACACATAACTCAACAACGCATCAACATTTTTACAGCTGAAAAGAGATCTGCAACAATCACTTACCCTTTTGGGACTTGGAGAACTAGAGTAAGAAGATGACCTCCCACGTCTCCCAGCTGGACCTCGTCCTCTGCTTTCAATCAAAGACAAAATTACATCAATAACACACTCCACATAGATCTATATAACTTAGTCATTTTTGGTAGCAATGTCTCTAGGAACTGGTATGTCACAAACCTACATATAAGGATTAAACAGAGTAGAATCGTGGGTTATACTCGTGAATTATTCAAGACTCAAAAACATGTCATGAATCTTATATCATTCTACGTACTATCTTAGCTAGGCAACTGCAACAAAATAAATTCCAGGAGATATCAAAGATAAGCCTACCAAACTTTTAAGCGAGCTAAAATATACCTGCGGGGTGAAATGGACCTTGAACGAGAGCGACCAGGTCTACGAATTGGGGATCGGCTACGCCTGCGGATCGGAGATCTTCTGGGAGGACTGCGTCTCCTTAACGGTGACCTGAAACACGCCCAATTCAGATCATATATAAAACTGACACAATTTTCCAGCTCTAATGAACCCAGTACCATAGCCTATAGAGCTTTAATTCCTATCCTTCGATTACTAGGGGCGTAATTCAGGTACCGCAGACTTACCTTCGCCTTAGAGGAGGAGGAGACCGTCTTCGAACAGGACTGCCACGGATTCTTCTAGGGGATCCCCTGTTGACAGATAAAAGTGAGCTATTGATTCTGAAAACAACAACACAAAATAGATGGTGCCACAGCTAACCTTGGAGATCTATATCTTCTTGGAGGAGGAGAAGATGGAGAACGGCCTCTAGATGGCGATGCTGGCCTACGTCTAGGTGGTGTATCACCACGACGGCGTATAGGAGAGCCGAGCCTCCTGCGAGGGGGAGAATCAGCTAATCTCCTAGGTGATGCCCCTCTCCTAGGCGGAGGTGATCGCCTTCCTGGAGAAAGTGCTGTTTTTCATTGCGGGGAAGCAAAGCACATATTGATGATAATCATTAACACAATATAAAGCATAGACTACTAGAATTACAAATAACCAAAATCTATAAAACACAGACGTACTCTCTCTTGGACGCCTCGGCCCACCTTTCTCAATGTCAGCACCAACATTATCAGATTTTGGAGCATCTCTTTTTGGTGCACTTGAAACTGGTTTAGTGGGTGGAGATGCTTTCTGGCGTGCTGGTAGTGTGAACTTTGCTTTAACAACATTTCCATCAATTTGTCCCTGCGTTTAAGTGGAAAAAAGCATAAATCTTTTCGGCCAATATGTTAAGGAAAAAACATAGTGCATTTCATATCTGGAAAGAGACATACACCATCCATGAACAGCAGCGCTTTCTCAGCATCAGCTCTTGCCTTGAACTCAACATAAGCAAATCCTTTTGGAAGATTAACCTGTTAATATTCAAAGGAATTATGAGCAGATTTCTTAACAAGAAATGCCAGATAACAACAAATAGCAATGTAATAGCAACTTACAGCCCGATCCATCGCAAGTTCAACATGTATAACTTCTCCAAAGTTGCCTAAAAATATGAAAAACAAGCCATTACTAACACACAGTGTGAAGATACAACATTCAACCACGCAAATTGGTCAACAACAAACAAAATAAAATAATCATAATGCCAGTGATGATCCATGACCTTAATGGCCTATATACTACTTGATCACAGTTGATGCCAAGAAAATTGGTCAAACACAAACAAAATCAAATAGTCATAATGCCAGTGATGATCCATGACCATAAATACTACTCATTACAGTTGAGGCCTAAAGCACTGGTGTACTCAGTTATCATGTAATAAAATCTGATCAAGCAGAATAAATATGAAAGAGCAATAAACATACCAAAAATTTCTTTCAGATGGCCTTCATTCACATTCCTGCTAAGAGAATCGATATGGAGAACAAGAGATTCTTGAATAGGTGTAGCTTTCCTGAAACCATAATTCGATTGTAAAGTCAGCAAAAGCGAGGATCTGATTAAAGCATCCACACACACACACATATATTCTCTAATATCGACACTGTAAACTAGAATACGTGTACGAGCTAGGAGTTTCGAGACTACTTAGAAGGTGAAGAGGCTCCTTTAGATTGT